AAGGCTGACAGCATTCAGACCACAAAGTGGAATAATTAGGATGGAGGGAATCATTGCAATTGAGCCAAGGCTGTAGTTCCCAAGAGGTGACAGCAGAACCCTCAACAGCTCTTCAGGAAGCTGCCAACTGAAGTCACCAACATGCTGCCCATGAAAGTGAAGTATCTTTGCCTGTTCAGAAGGGTGGATAAGCACTCAGGCTAATCCCACCCCAGCTTCTCCCCTCTCTCAAGGCACGTCTGTTTGATAAGTTTCTCATATGCGGCTGAGATGTGATGCTCTCAGTGCAATGGTAACTTTCCTTGTGTGATTTCAGAGTTCCGTGGAGGAGAAGATACAGAGAATTTAGACACAATCACTCCAAGAAAATGGTCCTTGCCCAGTGTCCTGAGATCCTGCGGGAGATGCTTTCACTCTGTTGCCTTGGAGAGTAGCTCCTGGTCCACCAGGGAAAGAGTGATGATAACAACCCAAGAATAGCAAGAGGACAGAAAAGGCCAGGTACCTATAAACCAGCCTGTTGGCTCAACGGTTCCAAAATCAAAGAGAAAAAGTAAAAACAAAAAAAACAAAACACAACAACTTTCTTTTCTGAAAGGAAGTGAGCAAAGGTAGGCGCCACGTGAACACAAACAAGGCTAAAATATGTCTTGTGAATTGGACACAATAGAATTAATTCACTCTTTTTTCATCTCTGCTGCCCTGGCACTTCCTTGGCTTTGTTCGATCTTTGAAATTTTAAGCAGATATTCCTGAATTAGGGTAATGAATCTACCAAAAGAAATATTTAATCAAAACTTCACAAAATTTTCTAACTGGTACAGAAACTATCCAAAACTGAAAATCAACATTTGTTGTGTCACTTCACATAGTCAAGAATTTCTTGGGTTCCTTACAGATCCACTTTTACCACGGTTTTCTGTGAGTTTGCATATGTTGAATGTGATCAATAAATCAATGTATTAAAAGGACAGGGAAAAGTTAGCCTAAAATTGACCTAAAAATAGTGGAATATACTTTACGTATTTTTTTCCAAACATATTTTTTAAATAAGCTATCAATCAGAAGTTATGAGCAACTGGAAAAGAACCAAGTTATTAGGCTAAATCATAGCAAATAATATGCTTTCTTTGGAAATTCAATTTTCATTTACAAAATGCTATCCTATCTAAAGAGCAAAAAGTGATTTCAAACAAGACAACAGCCCACCCCCTTTTGATTCCAGGGACTGAAAATTCCTCACTTCAGTCAGAATTGTATAAGTTCATCTCAATCATGCAGCCCAGGTGCTGCGGCTCTGAGGGGCATATAAGCTCTTCCCCGCCTTCTGGCCTGAGAGCACTGACAGCCAAGATGCTGTGAATAAAACATGGTTTTCTTTTCCACTGTGCTTTTTCTATTTCTTGCATTTCAGAAGGTGCTACTACCACAACTATTTTGCAAATGTAATTTCCATTATTACTGCATGAGGCACCCAATATTATTGTTGTTATAAGGCACTAAACATCTCTGCATAAGATAGGCCACTTTTACGATTCTTATATCAGCTTTCAACAATTAAGGCACTAAAAATCATGCAAATGATTATATCGGAATAATCAAGTGCCAATTCTAATACAGTTAGGTTAAATCAGGTTTCTTGAGAAAAACAACTAAGTGCTAACTCCTTGTAAACTCGGGAACAACTGAAGGCATATTCTTTGGCAGAAGGGTCTCAAAGAAGGTGGATGAAACAACCTATTTGGTATAAGATCAGAGATCTTAAAGGGGTCCTCCTATCAAAAATTGTCTCCTTTTCCTTGTTCCTGAAATATACAATAAATTACCTTTCATAGAGCTTTTTGAGGAAATGAGAATTTTAATTTTAACTGGATTAAGATGTGAAGCCATCTGGCAGCTTCCTCATCATGGGCACAGGTTTATCCCTGTGTTCATCCACCCAGAACTGCAGAGATGAGGAGAAAGGGGGGAAGGGGCCTCAGCATTTATATTACTTTGCTAGAGCTGCTGTAACAAAGTACCACAAATTGTGTGACTTCAACAACAGAAATTTATTGTGTCAGAACTCTGGAGGCTAGATGTCCAACATCAATGTGTCTGACAGTGCTGGTTCCTTTTGAGGGCTATTAGGGAGAATCTGTCTCATGCCTCTCTCCTAGCTCCTGGTGGTTTGCTGGCAGTCTTTGGCATTCCTTGGCTTCTGCATCACTCTGATCTCTCTCTTCATCTTTACATCGTGTTATCCCTGTATGTCTGTGTCCAAATTTCCCCTCTTTATAAAGATACCAGTCATATTAGACCAGGAGCCCACCCTACACCAGTATGACCTCATTTAAACTAATTACATCTGCAATGACCCTATTTCCAATTAAGTTTACACCCTGAGGTACTAGGAGTTAGGACATTAACATATGAAGTTTGGGGGGACACAATTCAACCCACAACAATGTTCAAGGTAGCTATCTCAATAGAGCTTTCAAGGCAGTCTGTATGTTGGGGAGCCAATACACAGGCCTTTTTAGGAAAAGTGTCCTGTACCAGAGATCCAAGGGCCAGCAACTATCTGAGGCAATTACGGATGTTGTCCTACTAGTCCCTACATCAGCCAACACTGACAGCTCTGGTTTGCTAAGTGTCAAGCCCAGGACAAGTCAACAAGCCTCCAAGGCCAATTAAAGCCACCACCATGAAAAACCCTGTGATCCATTCCCTGGGCTCCTTCTCGGCCACACAACCAGGCCCAGCATTGCCTTGGGCCATAAAAGGTGATGTGGCTTCTACTTTGGTCATGGGCACACTCACTGCTGACAACTTCAGCCACCACGCAAGGTGTCTGACTGCCCTGAGGCCACCATGCTGTAAGAAAGTCCAAACTAGCCCTAGCAGAGACAACACATGGACAGGCCCTGAATCAACATGAAGAGAGAGCTGTCTGGCCAATCCCAGCTCCTCCTGCCACCATCTGACTGCAGCCACACCAGAGCCCCTGAACCAGAACTGCCCAGCAAAGCCCTTCCCAGACCCTGACCCCCCGAACCTGTGAGAGACGATAAAATGATCCATTGTTGTTGTTTCAAGAAACTTAAGTTTTGGGGGTGACTCATTATGTAGATAACTAGAACAGAGACCAAGTACTGTTTATGCGAATATTTTTAAAGTTACTTCTATAGTGTCAAATACTATATATTCCAAAGCTGTGATTTCTAGAAATTAATCTATATTTTACCAAAAATATTTTCCTATTAA